TAAAGTGAGGTTGTTTTTGGCCAAATCATGACTTCTCCAACTGGCAAGATTAATGTTAGGATTTTGGTTGATCAAAGCCTTTACAGTGAGGCACATTGTTAGCATTAGGTTTAATTTGTTTGACATACTGAGCTTGATGTTTCTATGGTACACTGCAGGCGGGTGATTTTGAAGCATCAGCCATTAACAGCACTGGCATTTGGACATATTTCCCTGACCCATTTTTCCTCTTGATACCACGATTTTTTAATTTGCAGTCAAATATTCCAACTGTTTGGAGGCTAATAAGCACATCATGATTCTTCCCCCTAAATCTAACCAACATGTCAAGTACTGATACAATAGGTGCTATTTAAAGGAATAGTGGACACTTTGGGAAATATTCTAAAAAAAATACTCTAAAGATAAACACAACCTCATGTTGTGTCAATCACGTTTGCACACGCAGTCCGAAACTTTTGTCCGTCATTAAAGTTTTTGGAACACGTTCAATTTTCTGCATGCAATAAAAGCCATTAAAAAGTCGTTTGACCAAGAATCAGTGAAGAAATGTGGGGGCAGGGCACATCCGTGACAAGACAAGGAATGAGTTGCACAGTATCATTTCATAACTTCAGCAGGTCAGATAGTAATATTCAGATAGGTGATGATGACGAGGAGGAAGATGTGGACTGCTCACTGCCGGAAAAGGGGCGAAAATTAGCATGTCCAAGCGGTCACTGCCGATCAGAGCTGGAGCTGATAAATACCTGTGACTGACCATTCAGAGAGGGTAATAAGTGAGCTTTAGAGGTGCTGATAGGTTGATTTTGTTACCCTTGGACAGAGCCAAGCTATCTGTTCCTCCTGTTTCCTGTATTTATGCTAAGCTAAGCTAAGCTAAGCTAAGCTAAGCTAAGCTAAGTGTCTCCTTCATACTTAACATTCAGTCGCAAGAGTGGTATCAATCTTCTCATCCAACTCGTGGCAGGCAAGCACAGAAACATGTTTCCCAAAAAGTCAACAATTTCTTTGGTAAATTCCAAAACTGTCCTGTGATATTTGTCTGCAAATGAAAGGTATATGCAAAGAAAAGCACTTGTCACTGCATGAACACGCCTATGATGTTTATCAAGCCTTCTGGACCAAAACATTTTCTTTTACCTTTTTTTTTTTTTTTTTTTTTTGCTTTTGCACTTTTGCACCACGACTCCAGAAACCTCAAGAAACAGCTGTGCTGGTCGCATCACCCCCCCCCCCCCCAAAAAAAAACCAATAAAAACTGAGATCCATGTGCATCTGATGTTTCTGGTGCTCTTTAGGCAGCAGGTGAAGGGTAACGTTAAGGACAGGGTTGTAAGAATGTAGTCAGTGAAAGGACCTCACAGATAACAATGTGTGTGTGCATGTCTGTGTGTATGTGTGGTAGCATGTACGGCTGTTTGCCTCCCTTCCTTACATGTGCACAGAATCTATGGCAACCCGTCACTGTGGCCTTCCTGTTTTTGACTCCAAATCTTTCTTTTTCTCTCTCTTTCTTTCTTTCTTTCTTTCTTTCTTTCTTTCTTTCTTTCTCTCTTTCTTTCTGTCTTTCGTATGACAACAAGAAAACTGCTACAACTGAGTCTACAGGTTGTTTTCTTGACTTGGTCCTTCCTCTCCAGGATAGTGATAAATATATACTTTTATATTTCAGTGTAATAAAGATGCTATTATGTACTGTACGTGTGCATATTGTGTTTCTTAAAATTACCAAACATGTTTGAATTGTCTGTTGGTAAAATGTGTGATATACAGTGCTGTATGAATGAAGAGTAATATCTGTTGCTCTTTACATTGTTTATTTAAACAGTTGGTGCTCCTTTATAGATAACTGTTAGAGAGCATGGTATGTGTGTTTGCGACAGATGAAAACTGGACATCTGCGTGACCAAAAACAGAAGTAAAAGTCCTGATTCAGCCTTAATGAGCACTGAAACCACCAAAGAATTTCTGCAACAGCATTATTTAGATGTAACTTAGAAAAAGGAAAGATAAATACATATATAAAATCACTGAAACTGTGAAAAAGACATCATGTCAGTGAACTTCAGTATTGCAGAATACAGTAGGTAGTAGTAGTTTTTGGGGTGTTTAAATGTAGAAAGAAATGCCACAAAACACGGGTTTAAAGTTAACATTAAAGCATACCATTTTGAATGTGCTGTAGTAATGAACAAAAGTCAAACCAGGACTGAGAAAAGGGTGGTTAAATCATCAGCCTGAACACTGTAGGTAGAAAACCCACACTGACTCCGCACTGACACTCCACACATAAGAGCTCCCCCACCCTGGGTTCAAACCAGGAACCCTCTTGCTGTGAGGCAACAATGCTAACCATTGCTCCACCATGCTGCCATATACTGTAGATATTTTCAAATAATGAGGTTAATGTATATAATACTAATCCCTGTGAGCAAAAACCTCAGGCTCCGGACTGTTTGGAATATTCTGTTTCTATTTTCAAGATAAGCTGACATCAGCTGATGATTTCTTTTTATGGTCATCTACTCCAGACACGTCACTGCAAGTGTTTACATTACCTAGCCCACACTGCTAGATAAAGCTACATGGTAACATCAGGGGAATGTGTAATCTTGGATGCAGATGCTGTTTATTTATCCCCAATTTTGGAAAATATTCCTGCTGGAACATGTCCAGTTGTGTTTAGAAGGAAGAAAGTGCCACTATTACTACTACTCTGCTTACAGTGATAACCCAGCTGCAATGACGATGTGGGATGGAGTTACAGAAGACACAGAAATACTAAACAATCAGAGCAGATCAGGCTTTTTCATGAGGAAAGATTTAAGCTACAGGAGCTTCATTAAAGAGTCTCAGAGAAAGGGTGAATACAGGTGTTCCAGCACAGACAGTAGGAAAATAAAGTGTTTTTTGAATATTTAAGTGTGTAAACATGTTCTAGTAGAAACCCAAAATACAAGTATAAACCTGAAAATTAGCATATTAGGTCCTCTTTAAAGCCCAGAGTATACTAACCTGCTCAGCACCAGACAGCAGACACAGCTAGCCACTAGCTTGTGAACACAATGGAGCATTTAGCAGCCAAGGAGACAGATGTTTCCTTGAGGAGCTGAAAGTGAAATGTTGGACATTCACCAGGTGGACACAAACATGACTCTTAATAAACCATATATGTATATGTGTTACTCCATAACTGTAAACTAGCAACTGTTTATCAACAAGTTTGCCATGTCAACTTTTAATGTGATGATATATCAGCATGGTGTTCACAACTTGTTTCCACTGCCCCCAAGTGGCCAAAAAATTGGTTGTGTTTAAAGAGATGGTAAAGTGAGATTTTCAAAAATGTCAACATTACATTAGCTGGTTGGGGTTTCATGATAAATCCTGATTTATGTTGAGGCAGCTGGACTTATGCTGTGTCTCAAATCACACACTTCTGTACTTACACTTACTATTTTGAGTGCCTAAGTGTGTTCACACTGAGAAGTATAAAAAAATGCAGTGCACTATGAGTACCCAGATGGTGCACTCAAAATGGTCAAGAAGTTGAGTGTGGAACTATGGACACTTCTCGCCCTCAATGGTAGCCATCTTGGCTATGTAGCGGAAGGGGAGGGACCACTTTTCAAACAGGAAATGGCGGCCGAGGACTGTGCGACCGCGAATGTCGCTGCATTGTACAAATACATGTGTTTTTTGCACTAAGCACCACTATACTGTTGTCGGGTATAAGCCAGCAGTATGTTTATTGGGTTAATTTAGCAGTCTGTAATGATTAAGTACCGCGAACGATAACGCAAATGCTAATGCTAGTTTGCTAACTAGCTAATTTGCCGTTGCCATTTCCGGTAAGTGCACAAATTCGCTCACTACGCCAATAAGTAGGCCTACATAGTGCACATAGTATACCACATGGAAGTGTACTAATGGAAGTATGTGATTTGAGACACAGACTCTCGTTGCTCAGGAATACCTCGTCCCCGTTTACTGCATTTGCACATCATAAAAGTTATAGGAGCTGCTGCTGTTGTTTATAGTCCAGTCCATTTACATGCAAAATATCAGAAATACCATATTAACATGAAAAGTAATTAAGTATCTTAGTAACACTGAATAAAAATGAGATCACTAGACCTACTACTATTGTTCTATGCTACTCATTTCTCTTAGAAAACTGGAACACCAACCTAAAATGAAAACAACCGTGTTGTGGTTCTTCTAGAAAGTACTCAAACATTTCCAGGTACTGAGGAAGGAGCAGTGGCACTGACCCCATTTTGGAAATACACATGAGCCTCGTGTCCCCTCTGCCAACAGAGTGTGATAGACGGCTCCGGGCTGTCAGTACTGTCTGGCATTAACACGTGCCACCAGGGCTTAAAGGATCCAGACTTTCTGCTAGGAAAGACTGTGGAAATAAATATCACATTTGATTCACATCAACAAATAGGCTCACTGATGAAGAAATACTTCAATCATATGAGCTCTGTGCTGATTTTATATGGTGAACATGAGTGAGAATAACTTTGCTGGGGGTAGAGGAGGGGTCCAGAAGGACATACCGTTTTATATTTAGACAACCAGGGAGATGGTGATAACATTTCACACTGTGGACAACACGGTCCTGATTGTATCCTGCAGTTAAACAGTCTCCCCTATGTCAGACTTGATATCACACTGAAGAGCCAAAGTGGTGTAATTTCACTTCTGGATGCATTTTTGTCTCTCCACATCTCCTCCTCTCTCTGCCTCTCGGATCTAGTCGGATCCAGTCTGGGTGAAGCGGACTTCTTGGTGCGAGATAATCGGCAGATGATGTGAGTTAATGAGGCGGAGATGCGGAGGGACAAACTCAGACGCGCTCCTCTGCGGCCAGGACAGGTGCGCAACAAGTGAGCGAGAGGAGGACGAGTCGGAGGAGACGGACAGAACATAGGAAGTCACGGGAGGGAGAAGGAAGGAGATAAAGCAGAAACACTTCCCTGGTTCTCGCCATGGATACGGGGCAGAGCGCGCAGGTCGCAGACATGGGAGGAGAGCACTCCGCCGGAACGTGCGTGTTGGAGAGGGACCGGGAGAGGGGCGAGGTGTCCAGCCCCTGCCCGCCGGCCAAGCAGCGCTCCCTGCGGGTGGTGTACGTCCTGAACGACGGGCTGAAGTCGGTGATGGCCAGCAGCCCGGAGTCCGGAGCGCTGCAGTGTCTGCAGAGAGCCTGCGACTCGGAGAGCGCGCTGCTCACCACCGTCACCTTTGGACGGCTGGACTTTGGAGAGACATCAGTGCTGGACAGTTTCTACGATGCAGGTGTGTATCAGTGTAACAGCATGGTGTTTGCAGGTTATATAAGAGTCGTGCAGGTTAAAACTGAGGTTATTTACTTTAAAAAATAATGTTTCATCCGCAGAAGTTGGCCAAAAGTTATTTGCGTGGCTTTATGTATGAAACGCAAAGAGAAAGTACAAATATGCGTTGCAAGTCTGCAATTTTCTGATTACTCTCTCAGATAATGACTCACGCACCACCTTTCACAATTTTTGCTTATATAGAATATTGTTATTAAATATAGATACATTCTGGAGTGTTTGAGCGACCATTTCAGAGCTATTTCAAAGCGAGAAATTACAATCCTTACAGTCATTGGGAAATTGTGGAAGGGTGTGTTTTATTTATGATTGAGAAGGAAGACGGCTGTTTTGAAATCTCAGTTCCTCATTGACTCACAGCTTCTGTTGAAAACTTGAAAAGCATGAAGCCTTTATTTGCTTTGTATCTGCTGCCATGTTTAATAAGATGTTTGGCCACAAGACTCTTAAATCAGGTCATGGCACGTTTGTGACCAATGCGCGTCCGTTGGAGGTGTTAGAGAAAGCAAAATATATACACCATGTATAAGAAGGCAGGGAAATGTGTAGCTTTTCAAGTGTATAGATTATGATACTGAGTATTGATTGGGATACACTATCACACAATACAAAAAAGGACTTAATGACATCTGGTGCTCTATGCTTAATGTTGAAGAAGTATTTCACTGCTGGAAAGATGGTCTTTTAATAAAGCGGGGCTGTCTGTGCAGTAGAAAGAGGCAGTTAGCCTACTTCTGAAATCGGTGCTAATGCAGACAAGACAACAGACAACAAAGACGCACTCTCAAAAAAGAAGAAAAAAGTCTGGAGGTGCTCGGCCACAGAACAACAGTATAAACAAGAAAAAGCCAGCAACACTCGGTGTCCTTCGTTACCAACTTTTAATACCTCACTGGTACAGGCGATCAAACACGCAGACGGGTTTCGACAAGTCTCTTCCGCAGTGTGTGAAAAGACAGAAAAGCAGGGTGAGACATGCAGAAATAACCTCCATTCCCAACCACACAGCTGCATGGCGTTAGGCAATCACCAGAGCACCAAGCAGAATCCAGGTAATCATAGAAAAACATCTCATAGAAGAGAAAAAAGTACAAAACATGTATCAGTAGGTATTAAATAGACCAATATCAAGAAAACACATCTATAATATAAAGTGCCATCATAATAAAAGGAGCTAAAGTCACTCAGCACAGTAAAAGGACATAAAGTGCTGATATCATGGTAACCCCTCAACAAGACATACATTCTAGTACGGCACACAAACATGGCAGAATAAGGCATAGAATAGATAAAATGTAAATATGTCTTAAAGCCTCAGTGTGTAAAAATGGTGAGTAACAGTAGGCTAACATCAGCGGTCAAATTCTAGACTGCAGGGCTCACTCGCTCACCCCTCCCGTCGGGTAAGTGACGGTGGCCTCGTAGGACACAAAGCCTTGCGCGGACACAGATGGCATCATCCACGAGTTTTTCAAGTTCAAGTAGGCCTATCTAGCGATGAGGTGAATATTTATTTAGGAATCTAAACCATGTTACGATATTGTAGCAACCCTGCAGTAAATGTTCTGTTATAATGTATAACAAAAAGTTGTTGTTTGTTGGTTGTTTTGGCGTGGTTACGGCCAACAGTAACCTGTACTGTTCAGTAATAAATGGTGGTTTGCCGAATAACTGCGTCATCCTTTCAACACATCCTGGCAGACGCTACAATATGTTATAGCTTACCAGTGAGATATAGGTTATCTGTGAGATATAACGTTATGCTAGCAGTGTTTTATCTCTAATTGTTTTGGTAACATGAGCAAACATTAGCACAGTAATGCTAAAATAACATGTTTTATGTGATAGTCTTGGCACAGTGCAGCAAATAAAGGTTGGTACGATTATAATATATGCGTTTCCAGAGTGTTCTTCCACAGGAGTTCTTTCCACCTGGAATAAGCAACGCCGATATTCACTCACGTTTTGTCCCGTGCTCGCTTATCTGATCTTTTTCTTTTATTTGGTGGCGTGGTTTCCCTCTTGTGGGACAAAACATATGTGTGCTCCTCCATTTAAAGTGCGACAGAATCATAACAGTACAAAGCAGGTTAACGCAGAAGCGCCCCGGATTGATCTGCACCTTAACCGTCTCCAGTGACGTCAAGTTATAGATAAACACGAAAGGCGAAGCGCATGTATCTCTTTCGGCCACTGTATTCAAATATGGCGACGCAAGAAGGCAGCCTCCAGCCTGTGTGTATATATAAAGAAATCATTCTAAGCCTATGAGAAAGCTTCCATTTGTATGTGAATTGCATTACACTTTAGTAAATATATATTTATGAAAGCAATAGTTGATATTTGCTAATAAACAACCACGTACATTACACATTGTAACTTTAATACATCTTAAACCCTATCACGCATATTGACAGGGCAAACAGAGGTCAATAAAGATCTCCTGTCAATTTGCCTCACCCTGAGCATACACTCATTAAGAGCCCTTTCATCATAACCTTTAGTTAAAAAATGATCACACAGTTCCTTGGCTTATTTATCAAAAGAGGCATCAGTGCTACAAATTCTTCTGACCCTTAAGAGCTGACTAAAAGGGAGACCTTTTTTTAAGGGCAGGTGGATGGAAGCTGGTGTAATCAAGGTAGCTGTTAGTATCAGTCTTTTTCCTATAAACGCTAGTGCTTAGTAGCTCATTTTTAGCAACCATGACATCAAGAAAAGGAACAGACTCATTGTTAAATTCAAGAGAAAACTTAATGGATGGTATTCTTGTGTTAATGTAACTTATAAACTCTTCAAGTTGAGCTGTAGTACCCAAAAAAATAAAGAAAATATCATCAATATAACGATACCAACACTTCAGAAGGTGGAGAAAAGGATTATTATTGTACACAAATTCCTCCTCAAAACTCCCCATGAAAAGATTACTGTAATTAGGCGAACACGCCGACCCCATAGCTACGCCTTGGCACTGCAAATAGTAAGCGTCTTCAAACTTAAAGTAATTTCTGTTCAGAATGAGTTCAGTCATGTTGACCAAAAAGAATCAGTGGGAGGAATCTGAGTCTCTCTCTGGTCCAAAAAATGTCTGAGTGCTTCTAAGCCTTCAGCGTGTGGTATGTTAGTGTACAAGCTCGTGACGTCCATGGTACACAAAATGTCTTCCTTTTGTAGATTTTGCAAAGACCCAACTTTGTTGAGGAAATCTGTAGTGTCTTTAACAAATGAAGGCAGGTGAAAAACAAGATCCTTTATATGTAGGTCGATGTATTTGGATATAGGTTCAGTCAGGGATTGTGTACCAGCTACAATAGGACATCCGGGTACAGGCTCAACACAACTTTTGTGAATTTTTGGGAGAGTATAAAACACAGGACGCACGGGATATTTTTGATACAAAAAATTGAATTCATCTTGTGAAATAAACCCATTCTCCACTGATTTCTTAAGAAACAAATACACCTCTTCTTTAAATTTTAAAGTGGGGTCACATGACAACGGTATATAGAATGACCTGTCACTGAGCTGTCTCAACACTTCTTTTCTGTATGCACATTTATTTTGAATAATAATAGCCCCACCCTTATCAGCCTTACGGATAATAATGTCAGAGTTATTAGAGAGGTTAAATAAAGATTGTCTCTCGCATGGGCTAACATTAGAGTGCATTTTATTCACATTACTGGATGTTAACGCGTTCACCTCTTGTTCAATAATTCTGCAAAAAGTGGCCACAGCAGGCTTGAGCACAGGAGGGACAAAGGTGCTTTTAGATCTCTCTCAGGAGTGTCAGCAACAGTCTGTGGGAGAAGTGGCACATGAGAAGGTCCTTTGTCAAAAAAAAGCTCTCAATTTTATAGACCTGAGGAATTTAAACATTTCAACTCTAGTTTTGAATGAATCAGCTTTTCTAAAAGGGACAAAAGATAGACCTTTAGATAGGATAGAAGTCTCCTCATCAGTCAGGGGCCTGCTAGACAGATTGATCACCGTCGTGCCGCTGTCTGGGATGTGGTGCCTCCGGCTGGAGCGGTGTTGTCTCCCGCCCCTCCTGGTCTGCTGCCTCGAGTCACGCTCCTCGTATGGTGCCATTCCCCGGGTCCCCGTAAAAAACACCGCCTCTGGCTGTTGGTCGAAAGATGCATCACTGCTGGACAGTGGCGTTTTTACATGTAAAAAAATGGTGGGGCACCAACCACTTAATGATATCAGGAAAACTACAGTGCTCTCTCTTGATACAGCATTGCATGCATGGCTCCATAAAACACTTTTTTAAGACAAAATGGCTTGCCTCCAGCAGGTCTTACATATCTTGTACAGAGTGTGTGAGAGTGTGTGAGAGTGTGCGTGTGTGAGTGAGTGGCCTAAATTAAGAATGCAATATTCAATGTCATAAACTGACAAAACCAAGCTCAGAGCAAATGAGACAACAGGGAGGGAACAGCAAGGAGCTCAGTGCCACTGAAGGCCACAACGAAGCACACAGACAACTTTTAGGGATACAGATCCATGCTATGACAACAACCTTAGGACAACAACAACCTTTTGACAACGACAACAACCCCATGACACTCTTTACCATCTGCAGCGATCCAGCACAACAATAATATTACAGATGTGAATTATCACACTGCTATAAATCTATGTGTTGTTCTGTTTAAATAAAATAAATAAACATTAGCCTACCAATGCACACTCTGCCGACTCCTCATGGCCCTGCAGTGCTGTCTCATATTTTCCACATAGTTTAATACATGTTATGATCCGACTGAGCACGTACCTGTTTTCCTCCACCTGTCTGTTATGCTGCTCAATGGAGCGCTTGTACACACTGTCAATTTGAGCAGCGACGTTTACTCTTCCAAGTAAGCCCAGTTTAACAGCATTATCCAGATGACTCCCGCTACTTTCGTGTTTTGCAGTCCTCTCAGAGAGATGTTT